TAGATTTAAAGTTTAAGTATGAAAAAGCTTCAGATATTTACAGTTATGGTGTATTAATGTGGGAAATCTCTAGCGGGGTTCCTCCATTTAAGGAATTGATTAGTAAAGGTGATCAAGCATTACTTCGTCTTTTTATTATTGATGGATATCGTGAAAATGTTATAGAAGAGACCCCTGAAGATTATAAGATGCTATATGAAAAATGTTGGAATTCTTTACCTGATAATCGGCCTAGTATTAAAAAAGTTTTAGAAGAGTTTAAAAAAATGGGATATGGAACAGATGAAGAAAATAATTCAACTTATGAGGATTCTCCTAAGGAAATAGAAATAAATATTAATAACATTTCAAGTGAAGGTATAGTAATATAAATTAATATATTATTGATTTAAACTTTTATTAATAATACTATAAATCTTACAACTATTTTACATTAGATATGCTAACAAATGATTTAAATTGTCAATTAAATATACAAGATGATTTAAGTAGTAAGTTATTTAATTTATATTTAGGTGTTTAATGAAATACAGTATGCTAACTAAAAATTTGAACTTTTTTATTTATAAGTTTTATAATTTGATTTAGTAATAGTTGGAAATTAATTTATATAGTTTGTTATAACAAATCTTTTTATTATTTCATATTACCTTAAATATTTAAGAGAATTACTAGAATAATTCTTCAAGAATTGAAGTAAATATAAATTATTTTTAGATGTATGATTTGTTATAATTATTAAATTATATAAATTATTTCATAACCAATAAATATCAAGATTATAATTAAATTTTACCAAAAATGAATAATTGAATAGAAAATTTGCATCCATGATTAACTTGATAAGAAAGCTTCGACGGAAATGAATTTAAATGTGACAATTACATATATAATCATTTTGCAATAGAAAGGGATAAAAATTATTTGAGATAAATGTAAATTTGCTATCAATTGAAAATTTTATGGCTTAAAATAAATACACTTAAGTCAATAGACAAAATCATAATCATTTATTAGTAAGATTTTAATTGGGGTGTAGAGAAAAAAATGATCGATACATATTATTCATGAAATAATTCTTTAATTCATGATTAACTTGAGAAGAATTTCACAAACTTTTGCAAAAATTTTAATTCAATTCACGGTCAAATCATTATTAGGTACCGATGATTATTTTTATCGATTTTATTATAGTTGCGGGACGAAACCATAATAAGCTAATGTCGAAAGTCGAAACTAAATCCGTCGAAAGTCTAAACGTTTCGACAGGTTTCGGCGGGTTTAAATAGGCGT